TGTGTATGTATGTATGTATGTCTGTATGTATGTCTGTATGTCTGTATGTCTGTATGTATGAATTATTTATGTATTATATATGTATATATATATGTATGTATGTATGTATGTCTGTATGTATGAATGTCTGTATGTCTGTGTGTATGTATGTATGTATGTATGTCTGTATGTCTGTATGTCTGTATGTCTGTATGTCTGTATGTCTGTATGTCTGTATGTCTGTATGTATGAATTATTTATGTATTATATATGTATATGTATATATATATATATGTATGTATGTATGTATGTATGTATGTATGTATGTATGTATGTAAAGTATGTAATGTATGTAGTGTATGTAAGTAATGTAATGTATGTAATGTATGTAATGCATGTAATGCATGTAATGCATGTAATGTATGTAGTGCATGTAATGTATGTAATGCATGTAATGTATGTAATGTATTGTTATGATGTATATCTATATATATACATGTTGTATACACTAACACACACTATTGATCTGTATTGCCACATTGTTTGTATTTGTTGTATTTGTTCATCAAGGGGTGCCAAAATCGATCCATGGGACTGATGAAGCCCCCTCTGAAACATGATGGAGTTAGTCAGTTGGGATCATGACATTCCCAATGGAAAAATAATCCAGTCATGTTCCAAACCACCAACCAGAGGTCTTAGTGGGCAACTCATCTATAGGGGGATGATGTTCCATTGCCAAGTTTGATTACCGGAGGGTAGGTACTCTATAGATCACTGGTTGGTGACCACCCATCCTACAACGTGCAGCTCGCACCTTTCGCTTGTCAGAGATTCCTGCCTTCAAACGGCGCCACGGACACTGTTCATGGGTTGAATAGGGCCCCAATAGTTCATGGTATAGCTACAAACAAAGGCCATTTAAATGGGTCCACAATGGTCCACACATGTGCATATTTGGAAATTTATCTTTCGAGATACGGGATCCAATTTCGGGCTCCAATCATTTGTCCCAAGTTACGATGAACAAGAGGCTTGCAACCCTCTGATTCTCTCATGTGGGGGCCCATTACATTGGAAAGACCATTCAGGTTTGTAACCCGGTGAAGACTGCACCTCTTTTTGGAAATGTCACCCCACTTCATTCATTTGAATCGTTGAGGGTTGGAACAACGTTGGCACCGTCTGCCACGTTTGGGAATTCGCACTTGAAGTATTCAAAAGTCATCTATAAGTTGCAAACTAGCGCGAACTCAAGCTTTCACCGCCAGACCCAAAAAGCGAATGCACCTGCTCCAATTTCTGCTTTAGAAGCCTTGCAAGATTGAAAGCTCAAGTAGTCTTTTCCCACGAGAATCACAGCCACTGCCAAGGGATACTTGGGATATACAGTATTTTTTTTGTGCAATAGGGTAGTGAAGGTAATAATGTTCTCTCTCTCTCTCTATATATATATACACAAAATATAGCTTATAACTTATATATATATAATATACATATATAAGGAGAATGATGTATTATCCATCATGAATCATAGCATGTATGTATCACATCCGTTCTCTGAAACAGGCAGCCACCATAGGCCTGACCTGTCTCCTCAACATGGGAATATGTAGAGACTTGGATTCCACATATCTTCGAGCAAGCAAGTTCCAAGAATCATTCTATACGTTATTTCATCAAGCGAATAATATATATAATCATAACAATGACTGGAATTGCATATTATAGGATTTAGTTCATCAACTATGCTAGGAATTACATATTCTGATTTGTTGCAACTGCGTTCTGACCGAATCTCATGCACCATGCTGGCTTCCGCCGACCCATCGGCGCCTCCGGTTGAAGCGCTCATAGAACAATTCCAGGTTCTGATCCTCGAAGCGCTCCCAATCCTGTGGCCATCGTCATTCTAATGACACCAAAACCACATGTATTCACCAGTGCTGCCACAAAAATAAAGAAACATGATCATAAACATCATCAACCGGTACCTCATGTTCAAGCCCAGGCCATGTTGATCACATTTTGAGGTGTCACCGCTATTTCACCTCCAAGCTCGGCAATGGAAAGACTACCCGGATCCAACGTGGCAATGTAAAATCTGCCGTTTGATTCCATGTTTCCCATGGAAACCTCCATTTAGTGCAAGGATTTTCAGAGATTCCCAAATAGCCATGTTTGACCTTGGCTAGTTGTGTCCCATATTATCCCCATTTTATCACCTCTTATAGATGATTGTCTCACGGTGTCCCATTATATGCTATATTTAATTCTATTTAACACCATTCATCTTCTATTTATATATAGATGATGTTCATTGATGGATTCCCATCAACATATTCATTTATAATATAGTAGATATTTATGGACGATTTTCCCAGATAGCCATGACTACCGAAAGGTTTTCTATGGTTTTCTCCCGGTCCTTTTCAATCTGCCTGCACCTCTCATGCTTCAAAGCCTCATGCAGGGGCTTTGTGGCCATCTAGGACCATGAGATCTTTATCATCCCATTTGATCAGGGGGGATATGATATCATGATATTATGATATGGATAGTAATATGAGTAGTAATATGAGCACATATATATATATATAAATGTATACACATATATATATACATATATATATATATATGTATACATTTATATATATATATATTATATATATATTGTCTAGATAGATGACAAATAGATAGATACAGTACATAGCATATTGAAGTAAAGTATCTGCATGACATGTATGCGGTTTTCCGCAATTAAGGACTCAACAAATCATCCAACATTGGTCATGTTCAAGAGCTTGAAGAGAAAACAATGGTTTGGGGTACCTCACTTCTGAGAAACACATAATATACATATTGTATAAGGATAATCAGTAACGACCAGCTTGCAAAGCATTTGTAATGGGATGATAAGCGGATATCAAACACCTCCCAGTAAGGGACCCCAAAATGAATTGGATCAAAACTAAAGCAGGCTTTCTACGAGGGGATGAAAATATATTGGGGAAGGGACTCACTATTGGGAAACCACTGACAGGTTATGACAGGTTCAAAGATTTATCATCTGGGATTCCTGATATTGATTTACTCTGTAAAATACTGTAAACACAAAAAAAAACACAAACAGCCATTCAAAGTGGTAGTACCTGACCATTTCTTGCAAACCCCAGTCGGCCCACAGCACAAACGAAAATGACAGGTCCAGAGGATCGTACCATATCGTACAGCCTGTTGCCACTCTTTTTTTGGGGAAGCTTCGCCACAAAATACCCTCTGGTAAACTAACATAGCTATGCTATGGAAAATCACTATTTTTAATGGGTAAATCCACTATAAATGGCAATTTTCAATAGCTATGTTAAATTACCAGAGGGTATCACTTGTGCTAGCCATCTGCCAAATTGGTGGGTCCATCAGTTCATCCAAAAATCACCATCTGAGGTCAGGTCCAAAAAGCGCCGGCAATTTTCTTGGATACTCCTGAGTCGACATTAAGAGGCAAAACATCGCAAGTTTCGTTTCCTCAAATCTGGTAGGTGGCGCGCCACATTTTGGAGAATCATGATTCTTCCAGATTCACCAAAAATATTCAAGTAATTTCAAGTCCCACTCTAGAATCTGGAAATCCAATAAAATCTGGAGTCTATTTAGCCAAATAATATGTATACTATTGGGTAGAATCTGGAAATCCAATAGTAAATATTTCTTCCAGTGGGAAACCCAATCTTGCTGCACCATCTCATTCACCTCAGAGGCGACCCAGCGCATTTTCCAATGATTTGTTCATGGGATTCATCTCCCGAACGCTTCGGCATGAGTCAAGTCAGAAAAACCTGCCAAAAAGTACCAACACCACCTAAATCTAACACACAAATTAAAACATAACTTTATGTGTATATATATATATGTATATATATAATTATATATATGTAATTATATATATATTTATTAGTCTCAAAACAAAATAATTATCAACAAATGGGGGTTTCCTAGAATAGGGGTACCCCAAATCATCCAAGTCATGTAGACCATTTTAGTATTGAAACCCATGGTGACTTGGGGATTCCCCATCTTTAAGAAACCTCCAAATCGCCACGCGACCGTACGGAGCGCACTGCTTTCTTCATGGCGGATTTCACCCGAGCCCACTCCCCCAGCTGCCCCATGGTTGCCTGACAAAGGGACCACAGTTTCAGGACAGAAAAAATTGAAGTATCTCTGACAGCATCTCTATGTCTATATATGTCTATATGTCTATCTATGACTATATGGGACTATATATTACAGCATGTCATATATATGTGTATATATATAATATTGTATAATATTGTATTGTATAATATTATATATTATATTATATATTATATTATATATCATATTATATTATATTATATTAGATTAGATTAGATTCATTATATTATATAATACTATATTATATAATATTATATTATATATTATATCATATTAGATTATATTATTTATATTATATTATATTAGATTATATAATATTATATTATATATAATTATATTATATAAAATTATATTATATTAAATTATATTATATATTATATTATATTATACTATATTATATTATACTATATTATATTATATTATATATTATATTATACTATATATATTATATTATTTAATATTATATTATATTAATTATATTATATATTAATTATACTATATATTATATTATATTATGTATTATATTATATATATTATATTGTATATATTATATTATATATATTATATTATATATATTATATTATATATATATATTATATTATATATATTATATTATATATTATATATATATTGTATATAATATACATCCATGACCATATATGTCTATATATATATATGTCTATATATATATGTCTATATATATATGTCTATATAACATTCGTAAAATATGAGCTCTATAAAATTAGATAAGACTATATACTAATCCACATAATATGTTTGCACAAATGATCATAATTCACCACTCTTTTTTTGGGGCTTCGTTTTCAAAGAAAATCCCAACCCAAAGCGGTTCCACCTTTCGTCCATCCCCGTGGCCCCGCCTTGATGACGGCAATGTTGTAATCTCGCCGTCGCACGCCACGCAGGACCATGACCCAACGGCTGGTGGCACGGAGAAGCGCCATGGCACGCCTGGTTCCGTGGAGACCCTGCTACGTTGCCCAGCAGATTTCATGGATATGAAATGAAGAATGCCTTTTATGGGGATTCAACATGACTCGACCATGAAATTCGGTTTATAACTACTATAGTAGAATTCTTTGATTTTATGCTAGAACCTTATAAACCAACATACACAGCTGGGGAGCACCACATTGAGCTTCATGATTTCGCTTCATGGCGTTCATGATCCAATGTCCAAGCGGGTGTCATCAATCAATTCCATGTGGAAAAAAGAAACACATGTATGTTTATAACAATAATCCATAAGAACAATAAGAATAACAAACAATCCTGGAACTTCAAACGTGCACAAACAAGTGTTCAATCCCCAGAAACTGTACAAAAACGGTCAAACGAATATTGACAAAACGCGCACAATTTGCCAAAACGATCGCAATTTAGCTAAACGTGCAGAAATCCCCGTTTCGATCGTTGGCAGGAAAATTCTTGATCATTTGTTGTGCAACCACCGGTGCAAAAAAGCGCAACAACGCGTGCAATTTTGCGCAAACCGGCGCAATTTAGAGCAACCGAGCGCAATTTCAAAAAGTGTACTTTTTTTTTTAGCCAGCCATCCCAGCCAACCTTAAAACGCGCACCTTTTTTCGAAACGCGCGCAAACTTACCCAACGAGCAGAAATTGAGCAAATGCGCACATGTCCAATCGCACGGAAATTTGTGTTCATTTGATGTTCTAGGATAATGATAATAACACTTACCTAATGCCACTAAATGTTGTTATAAATGTTCTTGACTGATTATCGAATGTTTTGGAATGCAGTTACTGTTGTGATTAAGTGTGCTCGAATGATTTTTGAATGTTATTGAATGGTGCTATCAAATGTTCTTGAATGATTATTGAATGTTATTGAATGTTGTTATTCAATGATATTGAATATTAAATGATTATTGAATAGTATTAAATGTTGTTATTCAATGTTCTTGATTTTTTTTTGCATGTCCTTGAATGTTGTTGAATGTGGAACTGGCTGCGAAACAATAATGATCTGCTTGTTAAACATGATTGAGTTTGGGTGGCATAGTTGCTAAGATTTAGGCAAATGTGTTTATTTTTTGGGTAGATACCAGCACACATATCATAAATATCATCCAAAGCTTCATATTGAGGCGTAACGGTATGAACATGGCACCACAAAAATCAAGGTCTAACTCCCTTGGTCAATGAGGGTGCTACGCCCTGATAAGCTCCATTGAGAGGTCGCCTCATAAGCAGGGGTGCGAGGGGTTTGTGAATCCATTATAAGTATCATTACACATGTTTAATATATTGTGATGTATGTTTTGGATATTTTTGGATTATTTTGGTATGATCACCTATCATTCTACTATCTTCATATCATTTATATCTTCTCATACGACATATTTATATCCTATCATTCCACTTAGCAAAAAAAAAACAAACCGCAGCTGAACAAATACAGCACAGCGTGCCTGGTACGAGCCCGTAGGGTGGAGTGAGACCGGAACCCGTCCTCCAAGGACAACGAGGATTGTGGGCTGGGCATCAGTCCTGGCGCACAAAGCTAGCGACAAAGTGAAGGGGAGCAGAATATAGTTACGGATAGTTACTATGTGGCTAAAAAGTAATAGTTTAACGTAGTTTAAGAGTAGTAATAGTAATGGTAGTTAGTAATAAGGGTAATAGAAATAGTATGTTAGTAATAATAGAAATAGTATTTTAGTAATCGTAGTAATAGAAATAAAGCCATTAGTTGATCAGAGAATCCCACATATTGGTGTCATAGAAGAACATTGTGGTTGAAACGTTCGAGTTGGTTAAAAGGGGCCATCCGTTTTTCAAAAACTGGAAAACATGTTCACCTGATGAGACTACAGCACCAAAAAAAATAGACAAACGCGTTTTTGTCTCGGTCCCCATTCGCTTGCTTAAGCTTACGTTGCAGAAGAGCTATGTGCAAAATTGTGCAAATGCTGCAAGGAGTGAAGTGCACCAGCTACGAGAGTGCGTCCCAACGACTTTGAGACCATCGACAGTCACATCAGTCACATCAGTCTCTTCAGTCTTGCACATGATTGCTGCCCATATATATCCCATATTATTTTGACACAGTATTTACAAGGAAGTGTCAAATAATTCCACAGTCATCTCTAATGTCTGATTCTCTATTCTATAAAGGCCTGATACAATTCCCCAAACCTAGTGTGAACATTTCCCGGCGTTCTTCCCAAGAAAGAAACACTATCCCGTATCCTGTTGTTGGGAAACTCAATTCGCCTGCAATTCCTATCTCCTTGGCTCCCCAATTTATGTCATCTTGGAGGATCACCTCACTTAGCATGGTTAGTAAGTCCCCTGAGTGGGTTATCCCGTTTGCAAATGGGTGAACCCATTCCAGTGAAGCTACTCATTTACGAATTCCTGGGAAACTGGGGTGTTCCGAACGGCTCCCTCCGGACCGACTCCGGCCGACTCCCACGGGTCCCTGGATATGTTGCGACATGTTCAGCTGCTCGCCCATGGTCGAAACGCTCAACTTGCCCAGCGATTTCAGCAGCGCAGTATTGCCACTGTCCTAGCAGCCCGGCCATGGCAGCCATGGCTTGGGAAAAAAATCCATGAAAACTCAAGAAAAATAGTCAAATTGAACAACTGGATGTTGTGGTGATGTTAACGACAAGTTGTTTTTGTTGCATCATTTGCATCATGAAACAACTGGGAGACAATATTTCAAGCCATACTTAAGTATAGATTGAACCCATAGGATACTTCAACTCATATATGAGCTATGAATCACTTGCTGAGAGGCATGTTTTGAGTTTGTCTAAAAATTGGGTTCGTCAATTTTTGCCAAATGCGAAGTGGTTTGAAAATCAGTTCCACACTTGTGAAAAAAGGAGTACCATAACTACCTTTTTGTTTCACACCTCAATTTCCAAGAATGGATGACTATTCCAATCTCCAGGCAAGGTGCATAGTGTAGCAATCCCTCTGTCAAATACCCATTGGATCTATTCATTCTGGGATCACACATCGGTATATGAGTGCGGGATGGGATTGATATGGCTTATCAAACCCAATGTTGTAGGTGATACAGTATACCCATGTTGTTGGCTTGATCCCTCATGTTTACTGAGTAAATATCTGTGAAATCACTTCTTATAGCAAAATAAAGCAAACATGTTCTATGAGGTATAAATCCTCATTTAATCCCCATTCTTAGTGGTTACAGCCCACTGCTTAAAGGTTAATTAAGTATAATTAAGTTACATACTACATTTACCAACTCGGATTATCCTCCACACAAGGCCAAGGTACAGGATCGAGGGCCAATTTGTTGGCCAAGTTGTCGATGAAACCATTCAACTTCACAGCCACCACGGACTGCAGGCTCTCCTACGGACCGAGCGATCCGATTGGAATCCCGGACCGTCGATGCCAGAAAAAACAAAGAAATGTCCACATATACAGTTCTAATTTCCCTGGTTTATAGTAGATTTATCATGATCTAAATACAGTTTTTCTATGTGTTTGTAATTTCACTGCTTTGTAGATCAGTATCCAACGACCGACCAGGATGTAGCTGGGCCAATCTTATCCAGAAAATCAAACTTCTAACGGGTTTGTATGTATATATATATACATAATATTCTACTATATACACATATATAATATACAAATACATACAATATCCCCGTTCATTCAAATTAAATATTTCTAATGTGGACAAATAAATACAAAAAACTCATCTCAAGTTCCCATCCAAGGTTTCGACAAACAGCTATAATGATCTCAAACATCTACCGAAGAACATGATGCATTTTTGGATGTTTAGATTACTATGTGTTACTGTATGTTAATATATGTTACTGTAATATTCATATAGGTTACTATATGTTCATATATGTTAATACTAATACATGTCAACATATGACAATATAAATTAATGTAATATGTTAATAATGTCAATGTAACATACATATAATATATACACTGTACATTGCTGCACCCTGCGGTAATCAAAGGTGGTATCTCCAATTTGTAGCTGATGCTCCCAGCTATAGACCAGCTGGTTGGTATGCCTATTTGAACTGAGACTAGAACATTACACCTAGTGCATTTACCAGGTCACCAATGCTTACCCAGCCGATTACAACACATTGAGGCAAGTTACGATTCACACATGTTCCATGGTCCAGGTGTTGGAATATAATCCATTTCTACCTCCCAAACAAAAAAACAACCCATGCAACACATCTACCACACGATACCATTGGCAACAGTGGCAGTCGGTCTATATCAGCGAGGTGCGATGTCATTCATTGGTCCCTTATGCTTCTCATAGTCCAAACACGCTTGCAACGACGCGAAGTCGATCTGCATGTCCGTGGGAAGGCATCGCATGGAGCAGAGTTTTCCTGATAAAACGAGGCCAACAAAAAAAAAAACGCACCACTGAGCCAGTGACATCAAATAAATGGGAGTTTCCATCAATGGTATCCAAAAATGGTAGGTTTATAATGGAAAACCCCATCAAAGTTGATGATTTGGGGGTCCCCCTATTTCAGGAAACCACCAAATGATTGATAAAGATGACATTTCGATTTTCCGCATGATAGCTTTCTCTAGAGTTAGAACAAACTGACTATCTGACTTTTAATGGAGTCATATGATTATATATCAGTTGTTTCTCATTTCAAGCTAGGAAACAAAATGTCGCATCTCAAAAAGATGGCAACTCTTGAATTTCATGAAGAATTTCCCACTATTTGAGTAGAATGTCCCACCATTTCAATGGGCCTCGACCTGTGAAGTCATCATAACTTTGCCGGGCATCGGAGCACATCCTCCACCTTGCTGGCCTGTCTCATGGCGTTGGCTTGCCGCCTCCGATCGTCCTCACAGAAAAACCATGGGATTCACTGGATTGGTTGGGATCTGAACCGGAAACCTCCAGAAAAACCATGGGAAAAACCATGGTTTCCTGTAGATGTTCCCTGAAACAAATCGAATGTTCCATGAAAAACCATGGTGTTTTTCCTATGAAATATGGGGGGCTCCTGTTGTAAATTTGCCCCAACAAAAACCCAATCCATCCAATAGTCTATCTACAAATTTCATCTGAACTATCATTCCAGTGACGTTGAAAGGTTGTTGTCGCTACAATTCATCCAGATGAGGGGTTCAGAATCAGCCAGAACGTAACCCAGTTTTGGTGTATCCCCCATTCATATCGATCAATCCTTAAGAAAAGAAGGACATTTTGGGGTATCCCCATCATGAATCCATCATGATGATATGGCTTCTACCAAATCCAGTTGTGGTTGTTGAATTCAAGGGATATTAACCATCATTCTGGAAATAAAGAGAATACAAGCAACGAGAACGGGATCTAGCCGATGAGGAAAACGACACCTTTTCGCTTGGCAGTACAAGCGAATCTCGCCATTAAACACTAAAACTAGCCACCAAATTTCAACCAAATTAACTACATGAATTTACTCTTACCAAATCCACTGGTTTCCGGGTTTTGTGCTTTGTTAGCACTTTGGTGAATTGGCTACGTAAAAGAAACTGATCTCTTTTAGCCTCTTTCGCAAACTTGTGTGGATGGAAGGAGTTCTGGCAATCCAGCACATCCCAAAGCGCAGTTAAACAAAAAAAGTCTACGGACCTATTCGACAAACAAATATGGTAAACTTAAGGGTATGGTTTCTTGATTTGCCACACTAGATCAGGTACAGGTATGTACAGGTAGTATTTCAATGTATATCATGGGCTATCTTGGAGGATCATCCCTCAGTGCTTTTGTTTTCCCGGCAAGTCCTTGATTCGTGGGTTCTCCCATCTGTAAATGGCTTAGAACTATGGTTACTCACTAAGGGATGATCCGCGAAACACATGTTTTCGCTCCCCTGAACTGTCTGAAGTCATGGAATTTTGCCGTGAGGCCCAGGTCAAAGCCGAAAAGGTCTGCGAATTCAATCCGAAACTCATGGTGCTGGTGCAACTTCTGACCCCAGGCGATCCTGGGTAGCCAGGAGACACGCAGGACACAGGACTTCACCGGGACGTGACGCAGGATGACGCAGCCTGATTTAGTTCTCAAAGATGCCACAATCACCGTGAGAAATGCTGCTGTTTTGATATTTGCCCAAAAATCATGTCTATGCCTATTGTATCCGTGGATATTGGCGTACATTGAAACACATTTGTTGACATGTATACGTTATGTATGTGCATATTGCACTTGTCTATTGTTCCATCCTTTGCTCCATTGTCCCAAACAAAACAAAGACATGGATGTCTCTGCGAAAAAATGGATAATCCCACACAAACATCAACTGTGGATGTTCCTTTTATCCCTGAGAAAAACATATTCAACAATGGATATACTGTGTTGATACACTGCGAAAAAAAAAACGTGGTCGTTTTTATTTCATCGCCAAGCTGCTGGGTGTCAAGCTTAGGAGGTCGACACTTCTGTCCGCCCTCGCGAGATTTTTGGGATCCAACAAAGAATACGCTAAGATGTTCAAGCACTGAGGTGGGTTTAAGGCCCATTTACAGTATTTATGCCTGAAAAAACGCACGTGAAACCCGCTGCAAGCCGTTGAACATCATGTTCAAGAAGATATATCAATCATTTGACAGTGGTATATTGGTATATATATGATATATATGTATATATATATGGTCCAATTATATATAATATTATAATATATATAATATATATAATATATAATATAATATATATTATATATTCAACAATGCTATTTTAAATGGTTTCGGCCAGGTCCAGCTCCTGGGCGAGGCAGTTCCGCGCAGCTTCGCAGCTGTGCGCCGCTGCCGATCCAAGAGATCATCGATGTTGGGCGTGGGACCGCTGATGAGACAGCGACTGCGAAGGCCCTCGACGTCCACTAAGCTCCTGGGATGATGAACGATGATGCTGATTCAACCATCAAACATGCGCTTCAACCGTGAAAGATGAGGTGATGTTTAACACTTGAGAATCGTTTTGACAATTGAAAAAATGTGATTTGACCATTAAAATGCTGATTTAATGAGATACTCATAGGAATATGATGGGATATGATACAATGAGGACGTAACTGAAAGAACCAACTATAAATCATATACATACCTACGTGTGCACCTGAACATGGGATATATATATATAACAGTTATAGGTGCCTCATTGGTTTGCCTTTTTTTTATGGGAACTTCGTCATCAACCATGGGATTTTGGGTTACCCTATTTCAAAAATCAAAGCCACCGGTATACCCTCAGTCGACCCACAAAGGTACCAAAATTATCTAACATTATTGAGTAAATGCCGTGATAAATCTTAACTTACAATACACATAAATAAATCCATGTTGGGTAAGTGTTCCTTATCAAGCATCATTTTTCTGGTGAGGTGGATTGCGAGGGGATCAAATCTACATGGGCTATGGTTGATGTGATGATCCTGGACTCCATGGCGCCCAACTGCCCGCACATAGCCGTGGTGGCTCATTGTCCACCAAACAACCTATGATGAGTAGCCTCTGGTTATGACTAACATAGCCATGGTTTTTCGATGGCCCATAGATGGTTTACCTATTAGAAATGGTGACTTTCCACGGCTATGTTAGTCATAACCAGAGGGGATGAGGATTGCGCTCCAAATCTCCGCCCCAGGGTCACTGAACTGTTCACTCGTCCCCTTCTATAGGTCTACTTAGGGTTACATAATGTTATATATCTATACATATCTATAATACATACTCATATACTGCACATTTCATCGCAACAAATCCAGCTTGGCATTCTTGCAAGTCTGCTATACCTATCCCATGCAAACAAGTATAGCCAAGGCGCACGGTCTCTGGACCCAACGGTCCTTCCACTTGCACAGAACACATGGGAATCGCATTTCCTGCTCAGTGGATCATCCTTCCAACTACCAGGTGTAGCTTCAGGGATTCTAGGGATCCTCCAGGCATGTGCTGTCAGACAAACAAAATCATCCTTGGAAGTACTGGGGTCTTTTGTCTGTACTAGTATGTCCAAATCTAGTTGGAAATTATAATGTTCAAACATCATGTTTTAATTCAACAGCGTTTTACATGAAATTTCTCAGAACAAACAAGACAGTAATCAACATCTGGAATGTCTTTTGACCTTTCAGAAACCCTGCAGTCAATATGCGCCATCAGCGACAACCAATCTTCAATGCTATACCTGTTGAAGGCTGTGAACACAGTCACGATTTACATCCATACACCTACATTCAAGTTGTCACTAAAAATACCAAACACTTCAACCTACTGGAACTTACGCTCGAACATTGTAGATTCTGACCACGTTTCCTGATAATCAAGCCGTAGTACATCATGGTTGGAGTAATTTATAATTTATACAAATTATGGTTTTCGCAATTTTTAGTAATTACATGAGTAATTAAGCATCATTAAACATAATGAACATATCGTGAAATCATACTATGTCGTACTATAATAGTCTATAATATATACTATACTATTATAACATGTTATAACCACAATAAACATATATATATATATCTGGGTAAATTATAATATTTCACTAACCTGAATTAAGGCCATTTGGGGATGATTTCCCTTATTAACCATGATTCCCAGGGCTCGGTCGCAGTGAGGTCGTTATAATTTACCCAGATATATAAATCGTCTAGTTTACTATATAGTTTATATCGTTTACTATATATATAATCGTTATACTATATAATATAGATATTATATATATACTATACTATACTATTATAACATATATTAACATATTATAACCACAATAAACATATAGTTTACATTAGTTTACTATATAATCGTGCCATGTCGTGACCGCACCTGGGAAGTCCGGGGAATCCACCGGGAAGTTCTGCCGGAAGGTCTCGATCCGAATGGCCACCTTCTTGCGGGGATCCTCGGGAGCTTTCCACGTGGCCAGCTTTAGTCAATGGGAATTTCAGGCCAAAAATATATGGATATATATGGTAGGTAGCTCCAATTTAGCTTCGTGAAATGGCCATTGATTTAGGATATCGAACTTCTTGGAAGTGGAAACCTACCATGATTTTTCCATTTTTAGGAAGTTTAGATTGAACATGATTGAACATTATGGCATGAATCTTGGAAGATATTGGAAGATATTGCAAGTTTGGAATTGGGAGATTCCATGTGAAGATAATGAATCATAGGGGATTTCATGGGATATAGTGGGAAAATCATGGGGATGTTTGATCGGATTCATCGCGTTCGGAGTTCATCATCCATCCCATTTTTTTTAAAGCGCTTGGGAGTCATCTAAAACATCATCCCAAATGGGATATACCATGATATACCGTACATATATAACCCAAGAATCAGCCCCCATTAGGGATGGTTCCTATTTACGACCAATGGTCAGTCACATGGTACAATACCATGATTCACCATGATTGCATTGATAGAACACATTGGAAAACTATGACTGTATAATACACATGTAGTTGTAGATAAATTGTAGATTAGACATGATTAGATATGATTAGATATGATTAGATATGACATGATCAATGTACCAGAGAATGGGGTGAACCGGTGAACCCAAACCAAATTGCGCGGGCAATCATAAGGATGGCCAGTGGCTTCAAAGACTGTATCTTCGAGCTGCTGATGGAATGTCCACATCATCCACATCTGAAAAGCAATGAAAATCTATGCCGGCATTGGAAGAGGATCCTCATCAGGGATTTTCATGCTTTCTGTTGATAATTGAGACGGCGTCATGTTGACCCTCAAGTGATCCCCATTGATATGCCATCTTTCTGAACACTTTGGCTTTGCTTTCGAGCCAGGTATCAGAGGCTGCTTGTTCCTTTTTCCTGGTGGCTTTCCGCTTTTCTTCCTGCAGCAACTCCTCTTCTCTTCGCTTGCGCTCCTGACAGAACTGCCACAAAGGATTCTTGGAACTGGGCGAACACACTTACTTTGACATCATGGGGAACGATTAACTTTTCTTGATTGTTCAATGGGTTTGATTCCTTGGGTCGACAAAACATCGAGGAAAAAAGTGGTCACCAATGGTCAACGTCCCTGCTATGCGTTGTCACCTGCACGATGCCCTGCCCGTCCTCCTTCTCATGTTTTGACTTCAAGTCTTCGAAGCGTAGGTTCCGAACGATATCGTCCAGTCTGTGCGGGCCACCGGTGGGAGTTGCGTGTTTTCATGAGGCAGGGGGATATCATGGGATATCCACTGTAATTTCCATGCATGGCCCTACTATCGCGGTATGTTGCAGGGCAATCCCACTTTCATTGAGCGAAAAACCAACCATTTGTTTGTCAAATCCCATAGTGGATTTGAAGTCACTGGATTTATTTGCTTGCATTGCGGGATCCAGAACTTTCCTTATATTATATATAGATCTCCTAAATTGCCATGGGATGGTTCAATAGCAAACAACAACAAAAAATCCTGGCCCCAGTACCGAGGTTTGGGGGGCCCTCAGTAGCTGTTTGAACGACAGGTTTTGACTCATCCTCCGATGCCATTGTTTCCTAATAATTATATGTATATCTATATATATATACCCTCTGGTCATCCGTGGCAATGGAAAGTCCTTTATGAATGGAGGTTTAAATGGGAAAATCATCTACAAATGGGGGGAATTTTCAATTGCCACGTTTGATTCCTGTAGGGTAAACCTCATATATATTGCTAATCTCACCATTAATACCAGAATTTACCAGAATCCACAAAATAATCCCCACTGCATCAGATTGTTATGTTCTCGGTGACATTTACTATTTGTGGCCAAAAACCACTATATAAATGCTGCTAGCAATTGTCTTGTCCCAGAGTCCCAGTGTGCAAAATAAATAAATTTCGATTGATGAATTTAAGCCATCAAAAAATTGATCATCAATCATTTCACCCATGGGGAAAAAACAGTGGCCCCACCGCCGAGCCAAAGCCTGTCGGTGACCCCCCGCATGTCGCGCCCAAAGGTTTCCGCCAAAGTGTCAATCGAGTCACCTGCATTACAACCCCAATGAGGGACGTGCGAACCAGTTGGCAGGGGTTCAGTTCAAAATAATGTGTCAACTTATGTCCAATGTTGGCTACAAGTTGCAAAACAGCATTTTGTTGGTCATATCCAAAAAATCGAAAATGTCTAACAAAATAATGGCAAAAATTACTTTACTTCGTGTGATCCCCACCATGGCATTTATACATTTTGTTACTGGCAAATCTTCTGGCATTCTATCTGGCATTCTATCTGGCATTATCTGGCATATCTTCTGGCATATTATCTGGCAAATCTTCTGGCATCCTATCTGGCAAACATTCTGGCACTTTATTTGGCATACCTTCTGACATTCTATCTGGCATATCTTCTGACATTTTTTCTGGCATTCTATCTGGCATATCTTCTGACATTCTATCTGACATATCTTCTGACATTCTTTCTGACATATCTTCTGACATTCTGTCTGGCATATCTTCTGACATTCTTTCTGGCATTCTATCTGGCATATCTTCTGACATTCTATCTGACATCTTTTCTGACATTCTTCCCGTTGAGGTCCGGCAGTGCCCACTGCGATCTGGAAGTCGCGGTTGAGGTCCGGCAGTGCCCACTGCGATCTGGAAGTCGCGGTTGAGGTCCGGCAGTGCCCACTGGGATCTGGAGCTCACGGTTGAGGTCCGGCAGTGCCCACTGGGATCTGGAGCTCGCGGTTGAGGTCCGGCAGTGCCCACTGCGACCTGGAAGTCGCGGTTGAGGTCCGGCAGTGCCCACTGCGATCTGCAACTCGCGGTTGAGGTCCGGCAGTGCCCACTGGGATCTGGACTGCGAGGAGGAGGCGGCGGGTGAGGAGGCGGAGGAGGCAGAGGTGGAGGAGGCGGAGGAGGAGGAGGAGAACAGCTCTGATAAAATCTAACAACCCTCACCTGGCAGGTGGGGAACAATGGAAAGAACTGAAAGGACCAACAAAACTGTGGCAATAACCCAGAAAGTGAGCAGTCAGACACACTAATTGTCAAACAAATAGCAATCATACATAATCATAATATTACGAATGACAATAAGTAATGATGATAAATAGCGATGATCTTAATAGCAATAAAAATAATAGTACGTATATATATTGGTGCATCTAACATATCATAAGATATAACAGAAATAATAATACAATAATAAATGAGTAAATAAATAAATATATATATATAAATAAATAAATAAATAAACAAACAAAGAAATAACATGAAATAACACTACTAACAAAGATAGTAAAAACAAACATACAACAATACAAATAAGAACCAGCCTATGATATACCTTTGAGGACCATGAAGGGATTGCCTTTAAGCCTGCTGTTTGGATGGTTCCATAATTTGGAGCCAGTATGACACATAGCGTGACTGGCAGCAAGAAAAACTATAGTTCACTACCCCTTAAATGAGCTATACTGTAAATGACCTCACACCCTCACCAAGGACCACTCTGACACTTGTTGGCCTCTCACAGACTCACAGGGCCACAGTGTCACACATTTTTCCGACATTGCGGCCTTGTTTGGTTCACAATATTCAAACCGAGTGTTGGTGACGTCCCCAATCAACATCCAAGGACTGTCTGGGTCAAATTGAAGACAGTGCAAAAGAGAAAAGTTTTTATCATCTGCATACTAAACAATCCAAATTTGTAATATTTGACTTTGATTCAAACCCCAAAAAATGCTCCTCAACCCTCCAAGACAATCAAAAACATGGGTAAAAGCTATACCAGCATGTTACCAGCAGGGTAGCATACCATTGAATTCCGGTAAACAAGTATAAGAATCTACCATATGAAATACGTATGTACATAAAGATTGTATGTATGTGTATATATATATGTATGTCTGTCTGTCTGTCTGCCTGCCTGCCTGCCTGTCTGTCTGTCTATGCATGCATGCATGCATGCATGTATGTATGTATGTATGTATATACATACAATCATATACTGTATGTATAATAGATGATTTCCACAGGTGATCCAATCCCCCCCAACCATTGAATACCCTGCTGGAAAGCATGTCTTTAGTATTCGATCTGTCCGTTTTGGGGGTTCCGTATCCGTGGTATTGGTTTTGTGTTTGGGGGATCAAATGCCCCAACTATTGATTACAGCAGCTTCCTATTGAACAGATTTGAACATGATAATTTTCCATAGCTACTGTTTCATGTTTTTCACCTATCAACTGGTGCAGGATTTCTTCCATCCACTGTTTTTTAATCAAATCACCATTAAACTCCCATCAAACCACCATGTTCCCCATGGTTTCTCCATTAGATTTAAGCCCCTGGGCTTCAAGTCATCCATTTCAGTTGCAAGGCACGTCGACTGAGACCACTGTTCAGCAGGCTGGAACGATGTCCGCCCACGGCTTTCAGCACATCAGCCTGACCTCGGTGGAGTGGCGCACCATTGGAAAAGGGGCTATCATTTTATATATAATACATATATACAATATATATATATAAATAGGAAAGGGAATTTCCTATTATTATATATATATTGGAAAAGGGAATTGCAATTGTTAAATAAATAAATAAATATATATATATATATACACACAAGTTTTTTTTATAGTTTTTCCTAAAATGGGGGATTCCCAAAACCCATAGGTTTGACTACGAAAATTGTCCAATGTTGGATGGTTTGGGGGTAGCCCAATCCCTTGAGATCATCCATAGTTGAGCCACAGATTTTTTTGCTAAGAAAAAGGGATGGTTCTACAAGTAAATAGACCAACATATAGCCTATATTTATGACTAGAACTTGTAACTTTGATTTATAACTAATCTGATTTATAACTAAAAGAACTGGTATCCTCTGATTTATAATTTGCAACTTATCCCTATATGTATGCGTGAAATGCCAGGTTGTTATTGCCTTCGATCACGCTTTCTTGATGACATGTCTCAAACATTTATTTCTTTATGTCTCAAGTTCAACTATATACCATATATTGCCATATATCATATATATATATATATCAAATATATGTTAAATGGCCTATCCCCATCAAAACCTCCCCTTGTGTCCCAGCTGCGATGCAGCTGCTGCAGCTGTTCGTTGATGAAATCCCTCCGGGAATTCTCCCGGCGCGCCACGGTGGACGGTCGACCTGGGCCGTGACCCATCCCGCCCTGGTATATACATACATATATATATATATACATATACATATATACATATATAGGCTCAAGGCTGGGGGTTCCCCAGGGCTTCCAGGAACCCTCAGTCTTGTGATGTACTATAAACGTCGTTATGGTATAGAGTTGGGGGGGTGGGTGGGGGTGTAATAACGTCAAGTGGACTGCGTTGGTAACTGAGATTTGTTGAAACCTTGAGGATGTTGCTTCGTTGAATCTGTTGTTACGTTGCAAGTTTTGTTGTTGTTCACAGAGGGGGGGTGGGGTGGGTGGGGGGGTGTAACAACGTCATGTGGACTACGTTGGATTGAGAGCTGTTGAAACCTTGAGGATGTTGCTTCGTTGAAGCTGAAATTGCAACGTCAAGTTTATCCGGGCTGAAATTGAAACTTGGACTGATCGAAAAATTTCATAGAAGAGCATAAAACACTGTAAAATACAGTGTAAAAACAACATTTTCCATATCCATACAAATAAAATGCCTTTGTGGACGTGAAGATGAAAAAGATGTCATGTTCAGTTCGTCCATGGTTCTCCAGTGAATTATGAAATTTTCTAGTTATCAACAAAACGACCAAAAATGCATGAAACCGCACTTCCAATGGTTAGCATGTTGCACACATGTTTGGCCATCCATCGAAGATGTAAATTTCTCATTTTTCTGCGCGGACAAACGTCAAGTTTATCCGCGCTGAAGTTGCATCTTGCGCTGATCGAACAATTTCAGAGAAGAGCATAAAACACGTGTAAAAACAACATTTTCCATATTCATACAAATAAAATGCCTTTGTGGACGTGAACATGAAAAAGGTGTCATGTTCATTTCGTCCATGGTTCTCCAGTGAATTATGAAATTTTCTAGTTATCAACAAAACGACCAAAAATGCATGAAACCGCAATTCCAATGGTTGGCATGTTGCACACATGTTTGGCCATCCATCGAAGATGTAAATTTCTCATTTTTCTGCGCGGACAAACGTCAAGTTTATCCGCGCTGAAATTGCAACTTGCGCTGATCGAACAATTTCAGAGAAGAGCATAAAACAATATAAAACACTGTAAAATACAGTGTAAAAACAACATTTTCCATATCCATACAAATAAAATGCAATTGGCTTCCGGGGAACCCTCAGCCTTCACCCTATCTATATATATATATGGAACTTCATGGGTAAAACTGGTTGGAGGTCTACCTACCCCTCTGAAAAATATGAGTCAGTTGGGATGATGAAATTCCCAATATATGGAAAAATAATCCAAATGTTCCGAACCACCAACCAGATATATATGTATATATAATTATATCATACTGGAACCCAATCGAATGGCTACATCATAGCCAACCCAATTTATGGAGATTTCATCAAAATCTGGGATTTAACCAATCTTTATATATTAATATATATACATACACCATATATAGATATAGTGGGGGATTTTTTTCCCCCGTGGCTGGGCCCGTGTTACCCCTTTGGGATTTCATGGCTATTTCACCAAGGCTTGAGCCATCTCTTGGAACCCGCTTTTTGACATCACAGGATTTGTTTCCAGCCAAGTTGAGGATTTCACAAAAGCTCGTGATTTCACCAATGGACATATTTTGTTGGGGAGTGGATAATAACAGACCATGGTTTCCGGTGAATATATGTTCCGTTAAACGTATAAAACCAAAGACGACCCATGGGACTGATAATGATAAAAACATTGCCAATGAAGTTGCCCAGAATGATTCATACAGTGGGATTTATAGTAAACAGTGTTTCTACTATTCTACGATTTTAGTTTAGTATGATTGCAATCGTTGATAGTCAATACTGACAATAATAAATACGCATGCTATCTATAATACGCACAATTTGTTGTATTCATGTTCAATGAGTGGGGTTGAACCATCAATGGCTTTTCTCTTTGACCAGATTCATGTAGGCAACTCTCAATTCAATGGCTTCATTCATGGCCAATTTGTGGATACTTAGCATGTTCTTTCTTAGTTGCTTAGGATCTGTCCCTATTTGCAAAAGATGGGCGAAGTTGTGATCATCCCCTCAGTTGACCCTTGACTGAGGGCATGCATGACACCTATCCAATTCTGGGTTCCCAATAGAAGCGGCAAAACATCGTTGGATAATCGATGTACATCTGGTTGGTGGTTTCAACCTACCCCTCTGAAAAATATGAGTCAGTTGGGATGATGAAATTCCCAATACTGTATATGGAAAAATAATCCAAATGTTCCAAACCACCAACCAGATATATATATATAATTACCTTCCGCCTGGCCGGGAAATCTCAATCTTTAATCAAACATTCTATAAATCGAGTGATCCCGATATGAACCGTCCGATGAAGAACCTGTATGGTAATAATCTCGACCTAAATTGTCAACAAACAACTATGAGGACATGAACCCAAGCAAACAAAGTATGTATATGTACTTATAATATATATATATATGTATTGTATATGTATATAAATATGAAATAGCCAACAGTAGTTGGAATATAAACAAATAAGGGGCATGTTAGCCTTCTTGTCTTAATTCAATACAACAGTGTATTGGCCCTAGTTACAATCTTTTTGGGACAATTTTGTATTGCTTCTAAGGATAGCAGTTGGCATTAACTAAATCAGCATGATTCAAGGGTACAAGCACCTCCCCACTCTATTGTCTGTAGACATCAATACTTAAACCGTTTTGATTTGAGCAGAACGTCCTATTCTACATATAGAAACTAAAGGAGCCAGTGCCTCTTCAAATCCTGACATATCTGACCATTCAACGCCTTTCCCTTCAGCCAACTACGTGGTGTTCAATCACTGTGTATTATCCACAGACACAATCTGATGTCCCCGAATCATCTTATGATTTCCCATGATTCGCCATCATTCCTTTCCTTTCACCCACAACCCCATCCCAACCTCTTTTGACTCTTCATTTCTCTGAGTTGTTTTCATGCTAACAAATAAGTAGGGTACACTCCCATAGTAAAATGAGGTTTCCCCCGTGCTCTAATTTGATGGCCTTTGACTGGGCCCCCATCCACCATTTTGGACAAACCAGAGGGTTAAATCACGATTTTCTGGATTAAATCCCCATTTCATGCTATTTCTATATCGATAAAATGCCGCTTTCGATGGGTTAAAGTCAATCTGTTATGGCGTAAATCATCCCAAATCCATATTGTCATTTTTGAAATAGATCAATATGTATACATATATATATATATATTCATATATATATACATACATACATCAAAAACTCCCCATGTGCGTTTCCACTTTCACCCCTTTGTTCACCACGTCGCCGGTGGGTTTCCGCAGGGCGCCCTCCGAGCTGCTGCCGATGCCGCCGCTTCGGCGTGGCCGCAGACCGCCAGTGGACGCCATAGCGCCGGCGCCTCGACGCTCCTTGAGCTCTGGAAGGCTGCTGTCCTGCGGCGTTCGATGGTTTTTCTGGTGGCGAAGGCTATGGTTAACTAGGATTCAATGGTTAGTACTACTAGGATTCAATGGCTAATTATGGGTTAATTTTTTAGTAACGGTTAAATATGGTTAATGGTTATTGATGATGAATACTGGATTAGTGGCTAACAATGGTTTGGTGGTTCACTGGTAACTTTCAACTGAGCAATAATGGTGAATAATTTTAATGGTTGATCATGGTGAATAATGGTTAATAGTAGTTAATAATGGTTAACTAGGATTCATGGTGATTATGTGGATGTTTAATGAGGGTACCCTCTGGCGTCATCAAACATGGCTGGCTGGGCAATTCCTGATCAAAATGAAGGGTTTGAGTGGGAAATTCATCTGTAAATGGGGGGATATCCCATTGGCATGTCTAATTGCCGAAGGGTAACTTAGGATTCATGGTAATTGTATAAGCTGCCTTAGGTTGTCTGGAATTACAGTATGGTTATTTACTATACAGAACTAGATAACTTATATAATTCCAACTAGAATTATGGTGGTCATAACTAGACTATATAGTCAATGGATGTTAATGGGTGTTGGTGAAAAACGATGGAGGGTTCATTGAGGACGTTAGTAATTAACCATGTTATCACCATTTTATCTGATCACCATTTCATCACCGAAAGAAAACACTAGAGTAATTTAATACAAAAACCACACTTGTGAAGGTTATATTCCATATATATATATATATTATGCATGTATAATTTACATTACATGTATATTATACTTGTATGTTTATGAATATATATATATATATACATACACATAAGTATATATATATAAGTATATATATATATATACATATAAATATGTATATATATATACACATGTGTGTGCATTAATACACAAGCATGTATTTAGATTATAATCTGATGACTGTTATCCTAACTTTAATGGTTATGTACATGGTTCAATGATGTTCAACAGCCAGAAATGTAGAAACCAATAATATAGTCCAATTGCTGCGACAAACTTGAAACATAAATTTACGACAACAATATAAACAATTACCCTCTGGTAAACTAACATAGCTATTGAAAATTGCCATTTATAGTGGATTTCCCATCAAAAATGGTGATTTTCCATAGTTATGTTAGTTTACCAGAGGGTAACAACCATTTACTGTACACAACTACCCAAGGTTTCCCTTGGCTTACTGCATGAATGGATCCCCTTCATTCCTGATCCCATCCAGCCTTGCGCATGACATGGCGCGCCGTTTGGGACATAAGGCCCGTGACCGGGCGAGGGATATCGCCCACATTCATGGCATCACCCGTCACCCTTCGTCCAGTGCAGGGCGGAAGGAACTGAGTTACAGTAGCAGGTGGTATCCTTGAAGTGACTTTGAAATGTTGCGGAGACTCTTACAACACATACTTCATGATTTGTCATCAACTAAAAGAGTATCGTGACACATAGTGTTTTTCTTTTTGATTTTTTTTTGCTGCGTGGGAAGCATTTTGTTACACACAAGGGGCACCATCGGGAAATGAACGCACTTTTGTAAGTTCAGCGATACACACAATATCCATCAATATCCAACATCAAGCAGAATTGCTATTGCCGCTATTGCAGATCTTGATGTTTGCCAAGACCATTTCCACACGTTTTTTTTTAAACGTCTGTTAAATGTCCTACGGTGCGACGGCTGTCACGGCTGTCTTTGACAGGGCCGGAGCCAGAGCTGAAAGGGACAGGTACGTATTGCTGGCTGATCTTTGCCAGTAAAAAAAGCCAGCATAGACAGGACCCAACAAATCTGAGAAATGAACATGCACACACGTAGGTGTATATATACATATATATATATATACATGGCAAATTATACTTACTAATGGTATGCTATGATCTGCTTATACAATGATATGTTTGCAAATACATATTGCATATGTATAGAAACAACGATCACAATACAAACCACAATGTCGGATTTGTGGGATATGAGCTTCTAGCATTGCTGAGTGATCATCGATATCTGTCAGTCATTCACCAAGATATCCACCAGGTGAACCTCTGTGTCCCCAGGTTTTAGACGACTTGATCAAGCCGCATGTTTGTTCCAGCAACCCCCAAAGATGCAAATACAAGTCACATAATTTGAAATTCTAGGGGAAACAATGGGAAACATATACGGTACTATAGGATGTACTAGGTATAATCTACGACATCCTCCAAAAAGAGAAACACCTTTTGTGAAACTCACAGAATAAATGCCGGATTTATCACCACCGTTCACGCATATCTTTGCTTAGCAACGCCACAAATCTGACACATCTCCAGGGCATCTGGTGATCCGCTGCCTCTGCACCTTCACAGCAACTTCCCCATAGCCTTGCAGGGTCAGCCGATATACCTGCTTCGAGCATTCGGCGGGCTGTGGCAGGCCCTAAAAACAGCCGGGGGGTCAGTTCATCAACATCATTCTGTTGGGGGAGATGTGATTTTGAAGAATTAAAAAAAAATCCGATCCAGATTTCCTCATAGAGTTGATAACAAAATTATTGAGCCTACCAAAGCATCCAGAAAATATGAGAAGTAATACCAACATGTTGGGCTAAATAAATATATGTATAAATAGTGCGCAATACCAGTTCATGATTCAGTAACACAAGTAAATCGAGTCATTGAAAGTATACTGACCCACAATTTATGATGCCTTGTTCTTTTGTGGAAGAGGTTCCAAGTCAGGAGGTGTTGACTCGTTGGGCAATGGCCGCGGCAGTTCTTCGAAGAAAGTGAATATATCAACACAATAACAAATGCGGAACTGATTCATTTAACATAATACAACTGGGTTCTTGGGCCTCTTACTTTGGCCCTCAGCTGTTGCACCTGTTATTCGTGTGCCATAGTGCACTAGTTCTGGCTGTGGTTGCAACCCCAAATTCAGGCGGCTTGTACTGATACTCAACTCCTTTTGCAACCAATCGTTGGCCCTCAAATATCTGATTGTTTTGCGGTAGTTTCGGTCTTGTGTTTATTTCAATAGCCAACAGGGGTTAGCCAACCACCAATTTCTTTTCTGAACCTAAAACTAATCTCAGGTTTGACAAGTTTGACATCTTCGCTCTGGGATTTAAAACAACCTGACCATCTGATGACAAGTCACGCCAAGTCATTAAAAACGATCCCCCGCCTGCCCCAGGGATGCGGCGGCCACAGGTTCCTTCGGCAGGGCCTGAGGTTAAGTACTTCTGAATACGCTCTCTCTCTCTCTCTATGTATATATATATGATATATACTGTAGTGTAGTACATAATATATATATATAATTATATGTATAAATGTATATATATATATATGGATTAATACATGACATGTACTATGTATATAAAATAGTGCCATGTAACGTCGATATATATATATATACATATGCTATATATACATATGCTATATATAATGATGATGATAGTAATACAATATATATATATATACAATATAGCATATACATTCAATTATTGTATCATCATATAGTAATTATATACAATATATATATATATACAATATAAAGGATTCCTTGTATATAATCCTTTAAAACCACATATCAATCGATCTATCCAACAACCTTTAAAAGGCCACCTATTTCTAGATCATTTTCCTGGGGAAATCACGGGGTTTTTCAACCATCAGTTTTCCATTTTCATGTTTAGCCTATGGAAAACCCCGTGATCATGTTGTTGAACATGTATGAAAATGTATATATCATGGTAAAACATATGGAAAAGTGGTAAATCTATGTAAATCTAACTGGAAAGTTTTGTTGCTTTTTTGTTGCTTTTTTGTATGTTTTATCTGCTCCCTCTCCACGTCGTGAAAAAAAAACACCGTGATTCACCGAGGCCTGCAGTGACACCGGCGCGTCCTGCCAGGCCTGGAATTCGTTGGGTCCAGTGGTTCTCTGGTGATTTGGCAGTGGGATTGTTCTTGGCTTTACCCTCTGGTAAACGTTTACATAGCTATTGAAAATTGCCATTTATAGTGGATTTACCCATTAAAAATTGTGGGTAATTTAACATAACTATGGAAAATCACCATTTTTAATGGGAAAATCCACTATAAATAAATGGCCATTTTCAATAGCTATGTTAAATTACCAGAGGGTACCTGGTGCAACCACTGCAACCAACCATGTTTTGGATCGACACAAAAAATCCCCCGGATCCATTAAAAATATTAGACCCCCTCATCAACCCCCATCAATATGGTCGTATTAAGATTCGTTATTCTATTTAATTACGTATATATATATATATATATATGTCCATGTCCAATGTATTGACCATGACCATATGTCTTAACATGTATTAACAAGTCTTAATTAAATCTCTATAATATATACATATATATATATATACAATATAATATAATATAATTATATATACATATGATATAAATATATATATATATATCTTCCAACCTTTGAACATATTTGAGCCATGACGGGTCTGGGCACCTCCTTCAGGGTGGCCTCGGCCTCCTGTTTTGGGTCAGTGGGCAACAAATGGCTGGTAGATCTGGTAGATTTCATAAGATGATCTGAGATTGTCCCAAAAAAAAAGATGACCCAAAGGCTAAAAAAGGGTCTGTCTAAGGAATTCTAAGGATATCTAAAATTTGACCCATGGCTGGGCTGGGCAGCTGGAAGCGGTATCGTCATAGAACATCTGAAAAAATTACGACTGGAAAATCTTCAGAACACAGAGACCTACCTGACATTGAAACATTAGAACAATCTAGATGGAAGGGACAGAGCAACAAGAAACACTCCTGGGTTCCGTTTGCTTATTCTTTCTATCTTCACCAACAGATTCCGTTGAATGTTCATTGTATACATGTCATATATGTCATATGCAACATACCTATGCGCATTGAGACACTGGGGTAGCTCCACAAAGATTGTAAGCATCCCCGGATGATCTGAACAACCTGCAAAGCCAATGAATTTTAGTCCAAAACCAACCAAAACCGTCAGGGGTCTTTGGCAAATACCCTCCAATCATCATCTCCCGGGCGATATCCCTATAGATGATCCCAGCCATACACCTTGATAGATCTTTCAGACTTTCAATGGGATTTTCCATCAACACCTCCATTTCCAGTGGATTTTTCCATGTTTTTTCCCAATTCCCATGACCTCGCTGGGAAAGGCTGCCACGCGGTCCGTCAAGCGGCCCAACTCCGTGATGTATGCGGACCTGGGATCCCGGTCACGGCGCGTGACCGGTGATGGCTACGATGGCTACGAAGGTACCATATACCCGGCCTGGTAAACCTACAAAAAACGATGGAAAGATCCACCATTTTATCCATTTTTAATGGGTAAATCCACTATTTCTATCACCATTTTCAATAGCATTCAAAAGCTATGTTTGTTTACCAGAGGGTACTTACTTGTGCTAAACATGGGGAATTTGAGGGAATGATCCACTGGCTAACTATCATAATCCCAGCAACCCCCGTTCGCATCCATTCCCCGCTAAGCACCAGAAAGTATATGGTTGTAAATGGTGATGAATGGTGATTATTATAAATGGTTATAAGATGATTACCATATATGGTGCTGGTGAATAAATGATGATTCCCCAAAATATGGTAATGATATGTGTGTCTTTGTGTATATATATGTATATGTAGCAGAATAATAGGTTTTGATCCATCCCCATATTTACGAACTACCCAACAAATGACCCAAATGATTTGGGACATGAAGCAGCTCGGCTGGAGAAACCTCGCCATTCTGACTTGGGAAGTACAAAAGAACTACAGTACCAGACATTGATTCTTAGTCTCACAGGGATTTGGAAAAGCAAAGGATACCTGGATTATGATTGATTAATCCCATATGCTCCATGTATGGAATATTTACCAACATTTCCACTAAAAATCACCCAAATGTAGGTAAATATACCATGCATGGAGCATATGGGAATCAATATCGCCAAGCTCCTACAATTCACGGATCTTCGTGGCATTCCATCACCACAGACTCACCAAAATGGAGTGATTTATCGAAATCATTTATCGTTTCGCGTTGTGTTCACGTCGTTTCACGTGATGTCTATGCAGATCTATGCGGTCTCCGCTCATCAGCGCCGTTTGCTGCTCCCCTTTGTTCTTCTGTCGCCATCTCACCAGAAATCTTTGTGCCGGCGGAGGCTATGGGTGTCCGACGCAGCCTTAGGACGGCGCATCTCATCCTCTCATTGACAGCGGAATGTCAGATTCGCCAAAATGCCGAAGGCAAAGATCTTGAAACATCTTCTGACATTCAATGCTCTCCTCAGACAGTGGCAGCAAGGCTCAAAATG